AAGTCACTGGTCAGATGTCTGGTCTCCATTACTCTCCAAACATAACAAAAAGGATGGTGTCAGGTTTCCAAGTGGTGAAATCCATTTAAAAAGAAAAAGAGCAAAGTCCATCTTCCATAATAATTTCTTTTTATTTAGAAAAGCATCAAATTGGTAAAGTCTGTTGTAATTCTGGATCTGACACGACCCGGAATTACACCACATAATATTGGAAGTTAGAAACAACCCCCTAAAAGTCACATTCTCCAATGGAAGTAAATCAACGTTTGCCTGGTGGCATCAATCTCCACCTCCAGGTCTCAGCAGGGTCAGCTTTCGTTCCCACGGGAAGGAGAACCCCCTAGCCTAAACAACTCTCGCTATCTCCACTCCTCCCACCTTAGAAATGTGGCAAGCCCGAAACCCTTTCCCCCATAACCGCCAAGAGAAAGAAAGAAAAGGAGTATATAATAAGACTAAATAAAATGGCGACACATATGTCAGCTTTGGGCTTGAAAGATGGTTCGTCCAGTACTTTGACATATGCTTTATGGCAGTGGTGGCATTCTACTGGTTCGGCCCGGTTCAGCCTAACCGGTACCTCCAAGGATTATCTGTGAGCGAACCAGTTTGCTCCGATGATCAGTTGCTTGGCCCTCCCATCCACCCTGGCTCTATACTGGCTTTTATTTCCTGCTTTTCAACCTCAGCTGCTTCACGTGGCACACCGAACCTGTAGGAATTTTTTTTTTGAAACCCACCACTGCTTCACGGCCTGCCTGTTGGCCTTCTACCGTCAGAACTTCAGAATCAAGAAATGGGTTCAAAATCTTAACACGTCTTGGCTTGCAAAGCCTCCTTCCTTTTCTCCTTTCCAAACATTCACGCTACTTTCTTTCTTGCAGTTTATAATTTAGTGCACTTCCTTAATCTAGCCCGCTACTGATGATCGCTATCATTCCTTTAGCCCTAACAAGGTTCTCTTGAAACGGGTGCAAGCAACATCAGGGAGATGAGAGCCAGTTTGGTGTAGTGGTTAAGGCACTGGGCTAGAAAGCAGGAGACCGTGGGTTCTAGTCCCTCCTTAGCCATGAATACTAGCTGAATGACTTTGGACCAATCACCAATCACTGTGGGTTGTAGTCCTGCCTTAGGAGGCTGTGGGTTCTAGTCCCGCCTTAGCCATGAAAACCAACTGGGTGACTTTGGGCCAGGCACAGTCTCCTAGCCAAACTGACCTTGCAGGGTTGTTCTGAGAAGATAGGACGAGGAAGGTGTGTTGGATATGTTTGCCACCTTGACTTATTCGTAAACATAAGAAACAGACACGATAGCCATGTTCCAATATTTGAAGGGAAATGGGGTCAACTTACTTTCCAAAGGCAGGACAAGAAACAATGGATGGAAACTCATCAAGGAGAGAAGCAACTTGGAAATAAGGGGAAACTTCCTGAGAATTAGAACAATTAACCAGTGGAACAGCTTGCTTCCAGAAGTTCTGGCTGCTCCAACCCTGGAGGTTTTCAAGAAGAGATTGGACAACCATTTGTCTGAAATGGTATAGGGTTTCCTGCCTGAGCAGGGGGTTGGACTAGAAGACCTCCAAGGTCCCTTCCAACTCTGTTATTCTGTTAGTAATTTAAGCCCATGTGAAAATAAAGCCGTTTAAAGAGAGAGAGAAAAAAGCAAATTTAAAAACTGGAGTGTTGTGATGTGGGCACTGTGTGCATTTTCAACACAATTGCAGCTTGCAATTGCAGCTTGCAGTGACTTTCTTGATCTCCCTACTGGGGGTGAATTTTACTCCATCCTTAATTCCAATTAGCTACATACCCCAATGTCTTCAAAATTTCATTTTGCCTTCCTTTTTTTTAATCACTGCCTCACCTTTAAGCATCTTTGGATCGTATCAACTCCTTTTTTTTTTAATATAAAAGAGGGGTGTTTTTTGGTTCTTAAAATTCCGCGCCAGATGTTCCGTTTTAGAACAAAAGCTAATATAAGAAGCCATCCAATTTTGATCTGACCAGCAGAGGGAGTAGGACAACTACTTTAGAGCACTAGTTTAAAAGATTTGTTACAAAACCAATGCAATGTTTTAAATTAACTTCCCAGCCTCTCTGCCCATATTTTCGGCTGACTTTTTGTAATGAGAATATCAGTGCAAAAATCTCTGGAATGGTCAGTTCTGTTTTTATTTGCTTTTTCTCTTCCATCTCAGCAAGCCTTAAAGAGAGTTCAAACTTCATATTGTCATTCAAACCAATTAAATCCAGAGATTTCTCACAACCACAGGTAGTCCTCGACTTACGCAGGGGGACCCTTGGAAGAGGTGGGTTGGGGCCAGAAAACAGCTTAATAACGGGTTCGGCTGAAGTGGTGCAAACCGGTTGAATCCCATCACAGCTGGCTCTATAGGTTGTCTGAGGTGCCAAGTTTGGTTGAAATTTGCTGGGGGTGGTGCAACTGAGATGACGTACTGAAGGGGCTTGTGTTCTGAAAGGGGGTTGGCCAATTCCTATTATGGCTTAATGGCTTTGTCCTGGTTTGGATCTTGAGTGAGGGCTAACCCTATCACTCTGCCTCTGTTTCAAAATATCCTGTCTTTGAATGGATGACCATTTCTAAAAGCTGCCTCCTCCGGTATCTGCTCGGGGGGGGGGGGGGCGGGAGGCTTAAGATTTTTTTATTTCTCTTTTAGGGGGAAATATTTTATCCTGTCTTTTCTTTCTTTCTTTAGTATTTCTCAAGCTATCTCATTCTTCTAGAAGAGGAGTGGGTGGGTGCTAACTTTCTACATCTGCAAATGAGTTTTGTGTGGCTATATTTTCATTGTATTTCACATGTTCCTTACTTGCCTCACATTAAAACTAATAAGGATAACACCAATTTCCAGCCTCCTGGCTGAATCACAATAGGGATTTGCAATGAGGCAGCAGAGTTTAGGGGAAGACATTGTCTATGGAGATTCCCAATCAATCAGAATAGAGCTGGAAGGGACCTTGGAGATCATCTAGTCCAGCCCCTGGCTCAAGCAGGAGGCCCTATATCATTTCAGACAAGTGACTGTCCAGTCTCTTCTTAAAAACCTCCGGTGATGAAGTGCCCACAACTTCTAGTGGCAAGCTGTTCCACTGGTTAATTATCCTCACCGTTAGGAAGTTTCTCCTCAATTCCAGGTTAATCATCCAGGTCATGGTTGTCCCAAAGATGTTTTCCTAAAAAGCAAATGAATTTTCTTGTTTTTTTTTTTCCCTCCTTGAAAACATTTCGCTTCTCATCCAGGAAGCTTCTTCAGTTCTGTTTCAGTAATATAGTAATAATTCTTAGAGGAGAAGCGAAATATTTTAAGGGTGGGGGGACCCAAGAAAATCCAGTAGCCCTTTGAAAAGCACCTTTTGAGACGGGGTAGGATATTGTACTTTCTGCTGGGCCAACCCCTGGAGCATCGGTGTAGCCAATCTACCTGGGCCCTAAGGATGTTGCAACTGACAAAAAAGGATGGTTATTTTTCCATAAGATGGTGGATCCCCAGCTTACAGGTAAATTCAAATGCAAACACGTGTTTGTGGTACTTCCAGCTTGCTTGATCATTCCTTGGACATCTATCTGCTTCTGTTTTAATTAATCGTATAATGTTCTTTTTCCCCCTGCAGTAAACAAATATGTTGTCCGAGTGTTTACAGGTGATGTCAATGGCAGTGGAACAGATGCTGATGTTTTCGTTAACATTTTTGGGCGGAACGGAGACACGGGTAATATTCCCTAGGGTATATACAGTACTTATATCGACTAATGCAGACTAATAGGTATTGTGAAGACCCAGGGGGGTGGCACAAAAGCAACAAAGTCACAAAAGTAGGTAAAGTCCCTTTAATACCTCCAACTTGGTCCCCAATGTACAGTTATCATCAGCTGGAGAAAAAACTCTCCCAAGAACAGTTTTTAAAGAGAAGAAATTCAGTCCGAACTCAAAGTACATCTAAATTATACATCAAAATAAATAAAAACCAACACAAACCATGCTGCAGCAATTAACGAGACAGGGCAAGATAAGGAATTGAAGACTTCAAAAGATAACGAAACACACACAGTTGGGAGGACGCTAGAATCCAGATAAGACTTGACAAATAAAGATAATGCACACTTTGCTTCCAGAAACTTTGCTGTGGGTAGTTTGCCTTTTTAAACAGTTTTCCCAGCTGCAGCTAATGAAGGGGATCAGGGCCCTTTCCTCCCCCATAAACCATGTAATTCACGTTGCTCCCTTCTCCGTTCCTCCCTGCGAGTCCTAGGAGGAAGAGCGGGTGGGCCTGGGTCTTCCTCTGAAGGCCCAGCCGGACTGTGCCCTTCCCCATTTTCTTCCACAATCTCTGGAGCCACATTCCCACTCCCTGTCAGCTGCTTGATCTCCCCCTCAGAATCAGATTCCAACAGGGGCATGACAGGTATATACTAGTCCCTCCGTGAAGAGACTAGAAGCATTTGAAATGTAGATTTACAGATGGTTCTTACGTATAAGTTGGGTTGACAAAATCAGAAATGAGGAGGGGGTAAGCCGCCTGGGAAAGCCAAGGGAAATCATCAAAACCATCAAAACACGAAACTTAGAATATTTTGGATATGTGATGCGACACCCAGAAAAATAGGGCATCCTTCACTTAATCCTCCAGGGAAAGACCGAAGGCAAATGAAGGTCCAGGCAGAAGAACATCATGGCTTCAAAAATCTAAGGGACTGGTTTGGACAAAACTCAGCAGCATTTTTTAATGCAGCTGTTGATTTAAAAAAAAAAAATGATTGCCAATTTCCGATGACAGATAATGATTTCTCTCTCTTTTTCTCTCTCTCTCTTATTCTCTCTTTCCATATTTGTTTATCTTTGATGATGTCTGTTGCCTAGGAGAGCGCAGGTTGGACAACGACAAGGACAATTTTGAGAGGGGGTCAGAAGACAAGTTCACCCTTGATGCCCCCAATCTGGGCAGGCTCCGGAAAATCACCATTGGGCATAACAACAAGGGAAGCTCAGCTGGATGGTTCCTTGATAAGGTTCGCTGTGTTATTAATTCATTACTTAGGCCACCATATCAGGAACTCTTAATTAGGTTTGCCTTAACCAACGGTGGGCTGCTGCTGGTTCACACCGGTAGTTAAGATTCTGCACAGTTTGGCGAACTGGAAAATCCCACCACTGGCTCGTCCCGCCCTGCTCATTTTTCGGCCTGTTTTCTGCGCCATTTCCCAGGCCATTTCGGGCCAAAAATGGCCCAGAAAACACCTGAAAATGGCCTGAAAACAGTAAAAAAAAAAAAAAAGGCCAAAAAACAGGCAATTAAGACTTGTGGACATGCTGGCTGGGGAATTCTGGGAGTTGAAGTCCAGAAGTCTTAAAGTTGCCAAGATTGGGGGATCCCTGGCCTGGAAGACTTACAAAGTCCCTTCGAACTCTGTTGGTCTGTTAAGAAAGACAATGTTCTCAGTGAATACCTGTGGGTAAAAATCTGCTGAGTGGCCTTGATTTGTATATATTCATTGTATCCATCTGTCTTATTTGCAATTTCATTATTCTCTTCCAACATTCTTCTAGAGTTTTATTAATTCAAACATAGACAAACAAAACACAAAACATAAATACATAAAACTTCTTTTTGGAAAGCGGCTTAACCCCGGGTTTTTGTACAGACATAAATCAAATTCATGCTCACTTGATATACTATATATAATTGAATAGAAGGAAAGGGAGAAATAGAGTAAAGTTGGGAAAAGATATGAAGTTGAATATATAAGATAAATATGCATATTAAATTGTGCTTGTATGGAAATGTGATAATTTGGAATTATGCTGTCTTTAAATAAGATGTTTTATTTGTTTTTCAGAAAAGATGTCTTATGTTTTTATATTCTAGGTTTTGTTTGCTTGTGTATTGTCTTTAAAAATTAATAAAATTTGTTTAAAAAAAATCTGCTGAGTGGGTTGCAAAATTGGTCTAAAGGGAGATAGTTCTACAGCTTCTCGCTTCACTGATGAGACATTCTGCTCTGATCGTAGGTTATCATTGAAGATATTGGCAACAAGTCAGTGTATGAGTTCCCGTGCTACCGTTGGTTTGCGTTGGATGAAGATGATGGCAAAATCCAGCGCGACATTCTTGTGGGAGGAACAGAGGCAACTGGTATGTGTGTCTTTGAGCTGAAAGTGATGAAGATGAGACAGCCGAGGATGAACTAGGATTAAAAGGCTGAGGGCATAGAGGGAGAATAGGAGTAGAATAAAACAGAACAGAACAGAAAAGACAATATGGAATGGAACGGACTGGAATGGACTAGAATAGAAAATATGGAATAGAATAGAATAGAATAGAATAGAATAGAATAGAATAGAATAGAATAGAATAGAATAGAATAGGGTGCAGAAGTGGCATTCAGCAGGTTCTGACCAGTTCTGGAGAACTGGTAGCAGAAATTTTGAGTAGTTCGGAATACCACTTCTGACTGGCCCTGCCCCCATCTATTCTCTGCCTCCTGATCGGCTGGGTCTTCTTTTGTTGCCCTGCACAGGAGAACAGAGCTAGAAAGCAGGTTAGTGGGGTGCAGAGGGAATGAGGATTTTACAGTATCCTTCCCCTGCCACGCCCACCAAGCCACGTCCACAGAACCGGTAGTAAAAAAAGAATGAATCCCACCACTGATAGAATGGGATGAGATGGGATGGGATGGGTTAGAATAGAAATAGAATAGAATAGAATACAAAAGAAAATATGGAATGGAGTGGAATGGAATAGAGTAGAATAGAATAGAATAGAATAGAATAGAATAGAATAGAATAGAATAGAATAGAATAGAATAGAATAGAAAATATGGAATGGAGTGGAATGGAATGGAATGGAATAGAAATAGAATAGAATAGAATACAAAAGAAAATATGGAATGGAATGGCATGGAATAGAATAGAATAGAATAGAATAGAATAGAATAGAATAGAATAGAATAGAATAGAATAGAAAATATGGAATGGAATGGAATGGAATAGAATAGAATAGAATAGAATAGAATAGAATAGAATAGAATAGAATAGAATAGAATAGAATAGAATAGAATAGAATAGAATAGAA